ATGTTGATGATGCTGAAAGGGGCAGCTGTGGCTCGGAAAATATTGCCAGTAGTTGGGGAGCTTGTGGGGGTGCCATTCCAGCACCCAGTTTAATTTAACCTCATCACATAAAGCAATATTGGTAAAAAGCAATACTATAAAAATGCTATGTTTTGTGTTAATTCATACACTTATGATACAATGTGATTTCAAACAAAATCCCAAGCAATTTCTTTTTTGCAAATTAATAGAATTATCATAAAAACTACCAAGAAGAATAGCAGGTTAGAGCAACCAGGAAAACACAGTAAGAGAAGAGACTCTGTATTGTCATATGTTAAACTATTACCATGTTAAAATCCAAATTCCTACTGGCATGAATAGGCAGATACTGGTAGACTCCACTAGGGCCCCCCCCACCCCCACCAACATAAGTGAGTACCGGGGTCTCTAGCAATGTCTAGTAAAAATAGCCTCTGATTATTTAAACAAGTTAGAAGTTTGTTTTTCTCTCCTCAATTAAAAGTCTAAATACAGGCCCTCCCTGATGGCACAGCAGGTTAAAGCACAGCACTGAGAAGCTAAAGCCACTTCCGCATGAGTTCGATCCCCACCTGCCCCGGAGGAGATCCACATGGCTCGGCAGACCTCTCCAGACCCGCCCGCTGCTCCCCTCAGCAGTGTGCTTTGTCGATCTGCCTGTTCTGTTCCCCACTCTGTTCCTGGTGAATCCTCTCACCCTCCGCATCTCTGGCCTATACCCCAGTTCTATATGAATAAATAAATAAATCTTAAAAAAAAATTAAAAATTAAAAAAAAAGTCTAAATACAAACATACTATAGGTGCTCATCAGACAGTAAGACTTCTATTTCTCAGTAATGCTGAACAAGTAACTTCTGTGCATGGGCCAAGAGAGCTGCCAGAGCTCCTGCCATCACATTTACATTGCAGTTGTCAGAAAGGAAAAAAAGATAAGGAAAAATTGGCCCTTGTCACTCAGACGTGTCCTGAAAGTTACAAACAACCTTCCTTCCATCTTGATGGTCAGACATCGCTGCAGGCTGACACCCGGCAGTAACAGAGGCTAGAGACATAATTATGATTTGGGGCAACCATGTGTCCGGCTAGATTAGAAGATTCCAAAACTAAAAATGAAAGATGCTGGGATAGTTCTGACAGGGACTCAAAGATCACTCTATAGGAGAATATTTAGTGCAGTTTAGGGTAATGTAGAGGTGACTTTCCAATCAGTGAAGAAAGATGGAGTATTCAATAAAAGGAACTGAGAAAATAGGCTTGCCTTAGGAGAAAAGTTGAGCTGAAGCCTCACCTCACTTCTTATATCAAAATATGTTCCAAAAGGATTAAGATCTCAAGGTTTAAAAAAATGAGCCATAAAAGAATTAGATATGATTCTGGGTTTGGAAAAGTATCTTACAGCCTAACTCCAAATAAAGAATCCAGAAAGGAACAATAGACAAGTTTGACTGCTTAATAATGTTATGCATAACAGTCCAAAACACTGTAAGTGAAATCAAGGCAAGTGATAAATTAGAAGGGGGAAATGTCAGCAATATTTTAACTAATACCAAATTAATGTTATTTTCTGAAATCACAAAAATCAACAAGATGATCACAACCTGTAGAAAAATAGACAAGGACTAATAACACACAACCCACAAGATAAAAATACAGGTGGCCAAACAGCACTCAGCCTGGTGAGGAATGATCACAAAAGCAAAAACGAAAACAACCATGTGCTAGTTTTTAAACGATAAAGTGGAGGGAACTATGAAATCAGCTGTTATCTTTGACTGGCTGAAGTTCAAGTGCTACCACTTCTTGTGAAGGCAATTGATAATGCCAGTCAAACGTTCCAAAAGGTTCCTCTGACTAGTGGAGTTTCACGCTGAGATGTTAAAGGAAATAAATCCAGCATTGAGCGAGACTGAGCGGGCCAGGACAGACACAGCGTTCCCCAGGATTACGGTGTCACACACATAAACGAGGCACAGGGTCGCTATCCAGACTCTGGGGGAGAGAAAGTGGAGATGCGGTTTCACTGCATTCAACACTGTTCCACACTGACTGTTGCTTTTTAAAATGTTGTCTTGGTCCCTTCAATTATGCCATTGAAAATTATAGTGTGGGGTATGCAGGAGAAATAGAAGGCTGAGTCGTATGGTGGCGGAGAGGAGTATCTAATGATATGACGACATGCCGCTGAGACAGAGATCCGTATCTGGCGACATCTCTAGCTAGCTAAACAAAGCGCGCTGACTACAAACTTCTGCGTCCCTGGAGTATCCAGTTTTCACTAATGCCTGCTCCTAGACTCTGCTCCCACCCCTGGCTCTCCTGACGTATGGCTTTATTCTATGCTTCATTTCAACCAAAGCAACACTAACCCAAGGGTGTTGTTAATAGCAAATTTTTGCTGAAGGGTTGAGTCATGGAATACAATTATGGCACAGGGTAGGAAACCACCTCGCATTTAATATCAGGCGTTCCCTGCCTTGGGGAATTCTCTCCTGCCCACACTCCCCTGCCAGCTCCCTCCCCCCCTCCATGCTTTCTCCCATTGCCTTTCTTAATCCCTTCTCTCTCCTTCCTGGGCCTTCATCCCTCCTAATCTCTTGAGCTGCAGGTTAATTTAAGCTTCCTCCTGTTGTTGTGGATAGTAATTTATTATTCTTTTAGTTCCCCGACTATCTCTTCTACCCTGGAAGGGAGTGTTGGTGAGAAGTACCCACCATTCACACTTTTGGGGGGTGTGGGAGGGGGGGGAAGAATGCTTCTAAATTAAAATAAATCTTCCAGAGCAGAAGCAGCTCTGATCCTGAGAGGGTGTGTATACATGTGTAACTCCTTTTTTTAATATGTCCTGTTATCATGTGGGTGTACTTAGAGGAGATGACTGAGAAGTATCCTCCAAAATATTATGATGATTAATTCTGATTGTTGGGATTAAAAGGGCATTTTCTCTTATTTTGATGCGGATTTTTTTTTTAAGATTTATTTTTTTATACATACAAGAACTAGGGTACAAGCCAGAGGTGTGAGGAGTGAGAGGTTTCACCAGAGACAGAGTGGGGAGCAGAACAGACAGATGGGCTGAAATACACTGCTAAGGGGAGCAGGGGCGGGTGAGGAAGGGTCTGCCACGCCATGTGGGTCACCTCCCTGGCCAGGGATTGAACCCTTGCTGCAGTTGGCTACGGACAGCCTCACAGTGCTGTGCTTTAACCCGTTGTGGCACCAGGGAGGGCCCCATGCAGATGTGTTTTTTCAAGTCTCCTACAATTACATATTTATGAACACTGTGTTTTAAATAGTGAGATGCAACCCCAAAATTCCTTTGTTCTAAATTTTTACTTTTCAAATGTAGACAGAAACCTCCCACTTCCCTGAGCTTGCTTTACCTCCCACTTACGGAGAAAGCAGGTTTATAAACAGCTCCGGTCACAGTATAAAATGCTATTCTGAAGCTGTAGACAGGCAAAGGTGAGAAAAAAGAAACTGGTAACTAGTATGCAGCAGTGATCTTTAGGTCCAGAATGCGGGTGAAGCTGGAACTGAATTTATTCCAGGCATTTCTTGGATTTACATTGAGAGGTGGAGGGGGGCTCTCAGCAGTATTCAATCAGACAAGTAGACTTTCGGCCAGTTTCACAGTCCATGAATTTTAACCAGAGATAAAATTTGATAAAAATCTATCACCCTTGACACTTAGTTTTCTAAAAATATTTATGTCAGTCATTTGTCCACATTAAGTACATAAGAAGCAGTAGACAGTGAGACTGAGTCAAATAGGGAGATTTATGCTCAGGCGGGAGTGTGTCCTGGCCCAACAGTGCCCCGAAACTTCATGGCAGCCCAGAACCCGAGAATGAGTCCTTTTTCAGAAATAGGGTCTTTGCAGATTTTATCAGTTAAGTCTTGGATTTATTATGAATTTAGAAAGAGTAAGTGTGGCTGTCAGGAGGGACGTCACTGAGAATCCGCAGCCGGAGGCGGGTGTCTTATTGGGGAGCTCCTTTTCATGAAATGGGGAGGGATGCAAGAGGGGGAGTTCAATGGATGCGATCTCAGACTTAGAGGAATCAGCAATTAGGCCCAGAGTTGGGGACGGGTTAGCCCCAAACAACATAATGCTCTCTCCTGGAGGCGAGAGGGGCTCAGACCTGTGCCGGCGGGACCCTGACCACGCCCCTGGACGGAAGGGCCTGGTCTAGGGTCAGGACCCATGGGTGAGCAGGTGGGGAGCCCACCGCAGCCAAGAAGGAAAGCTAAGGGCGGGGAAGGGGCCTGCAGGTGTGTCAGTGAGGGGCGCGCTGTGTGCATCAAGGTCTGAGCCTGACCCCACCAGCTTCGGAGTTCAGCCCACGGCAGCCCGGTGTGTGTCAACCTGAAGCGCCAATCCCAGGGAGCAGGGCGCCGAGCCACGGTGTCACCGCCTGCCTGGGGTGTCAGACGTGCCCACGCGGACCCATGAACAGGGACTGTCCCAGCACAGGACGGGGAGTGCCCGTTCCCCTGCATTTGCTATTTCTCCTGCTCTCAGTTTTGGGGGATTTCCTTAGGACTTAGGACGTCTACAGCAGACCCAAAGGTCTCCGAGGTCTTGCGCCTGTGGTGCTCCTGCATACTGGAAAAGTCCAGAACAGGCGATGGTGGCTGCACTCAGGCGGGGCCAGTGTGCCCCAGGAGACACTCGAGCTGGCTGACCGCAACAGCATTTCCAAAGGATGGGCTTCTCTGCAGACACCAGTCTCCTTGCTCCATCAGTTGGTGCGGAGACCCCCCTCCAGGTCCATGCTAGTTTCATCCCCCCATTCTATTATTCTCCCTCTGGAAGGCCCCTGAAGCACGGGAGTCAACCCCTTTCCTGTCTTTCCATTCTGTTCTTGCCGTCCTCTCTCTTCCAGATACACCCAACCTAACTCTGCTTGACCACACCAGGCTCAGGGTCCTTCCCCGGAGGCCTGCCCTGCTCTGCCCCCGGCCCCTGCAGACCCACCTTGAACCAAGGATGGTCTGTTGCTTATCTCCACCATCTCCTTGAAGGCAGGGGCCATGCACTGCCCATCTGTGTCCCCAGGCTTGGCCCCCATCTGTGAAAGGGGGAACCACCAGTGAAGGTGGAATGTGTTAGTCACCCCTGCCCACCTCCCCCAAGGAGAGCTGGTGACGGGGCCTTCACTCTCAGGGTGTGAGACACCCCAAAGTCAACTACCAAAACCACCCCTTCATCCCAGGGTCCTGACACGTGGAGGAAGCTGTTTGCTCCCCACGAGTCTCCGGGAGGGAGTGACTGCACCCCCACCCCCAGAGGACACACAGGCCACCGCAGGGGCCAGAGGCAGGGTGAGAGCATCAGGCTCGGCGGCACTGTGGGGTGACGGGGCTGAAAGCACCTCCTCCCCGCTGAGTTGGCCCGCGGGTCCGAGGAGTGCCACGGCAGTCCGCGAAGCCCAGCCCCACGGGTCAGCGCCCCTCCCACCGAAACTCCCGGGAGGGAAAGGCCGACTGCAGCCGCCAGCTCCCCCGCCAGGCCAGCAGGGGAACTGCAGCCTGTGCCTCCACCCGCCTCGTGATTTTTCCAGCCCAGCAAAGGGGGCTAGAACCCGCACACCAGGGGGGTTAAACCGGCCTGTTTGTGAAAGTCGGGGGTCTGCGGCAGGCTGGGACGAGGGGTGGTAGGGTTGGGAAGGTCCCTGGGGTTTAGGGCAAGTCACGCAGCCCAACCCCCTTCACAGCAGGAGCCCAAGGAGCAGAGCCTCCTGGCTACCCCTTTCTCCCCAGGGCCTGGGTTGCCTCTGGCGGAGGGGAGACCTTGCCCACCCACCTTCTCCCCTTTTCCCTCTCCCCTGATGTTAACTTTAGGAACCCATGAAGTGTAACTCAAGGTTGCATTAAGACTCTCACAGGACTGGGCAGTTTGGTGCCTTCTTCCACAAAAAAAAAAAAAAAATATTTTTAAGTTCTAAATGTAGCCTAGGTTGTTTGTTGTTACACAGGATACGCACTATATTTATCTTTAAAGAAAAGAAAAACCTCAGAAGAATTTCATGAACCTCCAAGCATTTTAAACATTTCATGAACTCCAAAAGTATCATGGTCCCAGAGGCTATGTCTCAGACCTGGTGAGAAAGTGGCCCCCATAAGCCAGTGAACACTGTGACTTATGGGGTCCCCAAAGAGCAGCTTTTGTGCTGGGTCCTGACCCAGGGGCCCT